TTCAGGTTCAGCAGCCCTTGGAGTTCAGGTGTTTAGGAAAATCAAACCCATGTCTTTTTCCCAAAACCAAGTGCTGGCCTCACTGTGGGCAGAGTTCTTGCTGTCTTTGTGCTGGTGAAAGTAAAGAACTCTATCCCTGCAGCTGGCAGGGCTCTTGGAGAAAAACAAACAGGATCCACATAAACTTGACTTTAACAGGCAGACACCACAGCCCTGCAGCAGGAGAGTTGCTCAGGTAACAGCTGCCCTCAAGGGCAGAGAGGGCTGAGTGTTCCTGCACACCTGGAGGGGCAGGGACAGTGTCCCCTTTGTTCTGGGCTTTCAGTACCTCCCTTCCACACTGAACCTCAAGGCACCACAGCCTTTGTGAGATTTCCAGAGCGTTGACAGTGCTGTCATTGATCCTGACAATCCCCTCTTTGTGCCAGTGCTCCATTGCTCATAAAACCTTGTTGTGGGGCAGGTTGAGGGTCAGCAGTGAGCAGGACATTAATGCCAGGCTGACAGGAGGCCTCTTTCCCTTGTAGCTGTTTGCAGCTCTTCAACTGTGTCAGGGACATCTTCCAGCTCTTCTGTGAGGTGGTGCCCACGTACCACAGGTGAGTGTGTCCATATTTCCTGTTCTCAGGGGGAATACTGCTGTTGGAGCAGTCCTATTTGTCCACTACAGCCAGGGGTTCCATCAGCAAAAATGAACTGTTCGATCTCTTATTAAACCATACCTGTGCAAAGCAGGGGCTTGAGAGTTTCTGTGAGGTCAGTCTTACGATCAAGGGTGTGGGTGAAGTTCTCACACAGCTGTGTTTGTTTCCAGCCATGTAACCTGGACCTCAGATCTGATGCACAGAATTTTCATGATGTTTTTCCTGTGAAAAAGAGAGCAGCAGTGAAGATGGAAAGTTCACAATCCTGTCAGAGAACTTCTCTCCCTTTTCCTCACTGTGACTTTGCTTTAACAATATATATTCCTCTTTGAAAGCCCGTGGCTGGACACAGTGTGGGATAACACAGGGTTCAAATGCCTCAGTGTCATTTCAGACTCTTTTCCTGCCATTTCCTGTGGGCTTGGGAGAGGTTAAATGTTTTTACTCTGATGTCAGCCAGGCTTTGCCAGCACCACCTGCTGACAGACCGTGCATTTCTCTGGGATAGACAACAACCATTTTTTTAACAGAACCAGCTCTAAACAAACCCATTTATCCTTTTCCCTTGTTGCTGGGCCAGGGAGAACCTGCAGAAGCTGCCCCAGCTGGCTGCCATCCACCACAACAACTGCATGTACATCGCCCACCACCTGCTCACCCTGGGCCACCAGTTCCGCTACAGCAGTGCCAGCGTGCTGAGCAGCGTGGCTGTCACCTTCGTGGACCTGGTGCCTGGCTTCAGGAGGCTGGGTAACTTCCACCTTCCCCTCTTGCAGTTGTGCTTGTGGCTCATGTGGCAATTCGCCCTGGCAGTTGCTGCTGAAAGGTTTCATGGAGGTGTGGCTGCTCACTCAGTGGATTGGTATTTTTTGGACGAGTGGCAAGAGCATTTTCTGCTTGAGGAAGTTTTGGCTCTTTGAAACTTGTATCTTCTTATTCCCAAGAACAGCTCAGGATCCAGCAGGATGCTGCACTGTGTCCTTTGATATTTTCATTAGTTATTCTACAGAAATAAATTCAGAGATAAGTTTGTGTGAGCTAACAGGAGTCATCCACAGCTCATTCTGCTGCTTTCTTTTTCCAGCAGTGTTGTAGCAATGCAGGCTGCACAAGAGCTCACTGGTTAAACTGGCTCTGGGAGACTGTTTGGAGACTGGAAATTTGATTAAAAATAAAACATTATAGCAAGTTCATTCTTCAGCACTTACAGTCATAAATAGGCCGAGCAAATTCAGTAATTGCTTAATTGCTTCTCTGTGTTTGTTTTACTCCTAAAGGGGTGGAGTGTTTTCTGGCCCAGATGCGAGTGCAGAAGGGAGAAATCCTGGAGAGGCTCTCGAGTGCCAGGAATTTTTCCAACATGGATGATGAGGAGAATTACCGTGCAGCAAATAAAGCCATAAAGCAGGTAAGGAAGGCAGAGAAGGAACGTCCCAGTGCCTGCAGGTATCCTGGGGAGGGTGCAGTGTGTCATCCCAGCCCTGACAGCTGTGGAGCTGCTAAAAAAACCTGTTTGCTCACCTGATGGTTTAGGGATTTTTTTTTGTCCTGGCCTGTGTCTTTAGCAGGATTGTTCCATTGTTCCTCCCGTTTGTACTCACCTGATCCCCTGGTGCCCTTGCCAGGGTTCTGTGTGGGATCACACTCAGCTCTTGCCTTGCAGGTGCTGCACCAGCTGAGGAGGCTGGGCATGGTGTGGCAGGATGTGCTCCCTGTGAACGTGTACTGCAAGGCCATGGGGACCTTACTGAACACAGCCCTGGCAGAGATTGTCACCAGGATTGTTGCCCTGGAGGTAACAGCCATGGGGGGTGCTGGGGACAGCTTTTGTAACCTGCAGAAACTCTTCCCCAAAATCGCATTTCAGGGGAGCAGTTCATTCACACAGAAATTACAATTGTGTGTCCACATTTTTCATTTCACTTGGCACTCCAAAAATAAAACTCACTTGTGCTCTGTTCATGTTCTCCCCATTCCAGGATATCTCTGCAGAGGATGCAGACAGGCTGTACTCACTCTGCAGGATCATGGTGGAGGAGGGACCCCAAGTTTTCAGCCCTCTGCTTGAAGAAGACAAAAATAAGAAGTACCAAGAGGAAGTTCCAGTCTATGTGCAGAACTGGATGACGTTCAAGGAGCTGATGATCGTCCTGCAGGCCAACCTCCAAGAAATTGTGGATCAGTAAGTGTTTTCCTTTCCAGCTGCTGCTCCAGACCTGTGCCAGGGAGATGGATTTGGCAGGGGCTGCTAACAAGGGTCGGGATCAGCTCCTGGCACAGGTCCTTGGAGGCTTTGAGGTTTGAGGTGCCATTTCTGGGCAGGTTGGTGACACAAAGCCCTCCCTGTCTCCCATCCAGGTGGGCAGATGGCAAGGGGCCTCTGGCAAAGGAGTTTTCAGCAGCTGAGGTGAAGAGTCTGATCCGAGCCCTGTTCCAGAACACAGAGAGGAGAGCAGCAGCACTGGCCAAGATCAAGTGACTCCACTTTACACCTGCATTTTGTGACACAGCACGAGTAAACTGACACTTGCAAATATATTTTTTTTAATTCCACCTTTCTTATTTGTACTGCTCTGAAAAACTTTGGGGTTGGGTAAGTGTTGCAGTTGTGTTGAGATGGACTGGACTGGCTTCACCACCAGTCCTTTATTAGAAACCTTTTCATTAGAAGCCTTCTTTCAGTGAACTCCAATTCCTTTTCACACAGCTCTTACTCCTTCTCTCCTCTTTGCATAACTGGATAAATCCCAGCCTGTCCCTTTCCCAGCCACCTTACCCTGTCTGTCCCTCACACAGCATCTTCTTACCTTATCTGTCCCTTGCACGACCTCATGTCCCTCCCTCCTCACAGCACAGCCAGCAGGCTCCATCCCAAACTGCAGCAGATTCCATCCCAAACTGCAGCAG